GGGGAGATCTTCACTCTGAGTGAGATGGAGATGCTGCTGCAGATTGACTGATACACTTCACTAGTTCAGGGTTGGTGACTGGTTGCTCTACTAATGGGTGTTCCATTACATGGAGCAGATTAAGTTCACAAAATCTTGTTGAGTTGTTTCCAACCAGAGGTCTAACTGTATCGTTTTTTTTTGTCAATTTTGAACCTTGTAAAATTTAGACCTAATGTATTCCGGCTCTTGGCTGGAACCTGTATAGCAGGATTTTAGTGCACCGAGCTGCCTTTTGTTGCTCCTTTCTTCTTCCTATTGATCTTGTTCTGTTTCTCATATAATAACCAGGATGTGTACAGCTTGAGAATATTTTTTTCCATCTTTAACAATCTGTGGATAACAGGACGTGTTGAATGGCTTCCCCTTCTACTTGGATTTCAAAAGGAACAGCATTATGGAGCTGTCATTACATGTATTCATTTTACCCTAGTTTTGATCTTCATTTCTCAAGAACGTCCATGTAAGAATCTGAATAACTAGATTCCTAATGAGGTCACCTAGGTTAACATCACATAAAATAAACATTTGGATATTATTTGTGTTTCTTGCTCTCCTGATTAGTACAATTTTTGTGGGTAGACCTGCCTTAACACTGAATCACTGATTAAGATGTTGCTTCTTTACATGGATGAAGCGACTCTTTTAATTAGCTGAATGAAGATATATCTTTTCATGCTTGGCATGGAGTTGTTATCTCACACTGGAATTCCATCTATTTTGTAAACCTTCTACCCTTTAGGGAGTCTTTCCTTCAACTTTCAACAATTCTATCGATAAATTCAAAGTATGAAAAAGACCTTCACGTTGACCTGTTCTACTAACTTCTGATAATATTTTGATAAAGGTCTCTTTTCGCATTAATAATGAACAATATTACAACCACCTTCATGCGACATGTTGGTTTGCTTTTTGCTGGTAGAATGCTTTCATATTCTTATACTGTAGTAACATGCTCCTTGTGATTGGAAAAGCGAATGAGAACTGGACAATTAAAATATTGCTATAAAGGGATGATATGCAATCTCCAAACCTTTCGCATTATCATATTCTTTTCAAAATAAGAACAAAGATTTCTGTTTAAAATATATTAACAAAAGAAACACCAAGCCAACTCTACCCCCAAGCACTAACTTTCATAGAAAGAAACCACGCAATAAAGCCAAACTCCGGATTCGTTTGCAGCATACTAGGTGGCACGGTGGAAATTGGCAAAGTCACCAATAGTACGTATCTTTATGCACAACAAATTAAGCATTCCTCGTTGAGATGCTATTTCGATAAGACTAGTAAAGTACATCAAAATCATCTCATAATCTTTACAAGAATGTATCTCTCTTATAAATAGCACGCTGAAACTTGCAGGCGCTAAACTTCTTTAGTAAAGCAATAAAGGTCTGATTTACACCCCTTGTCAAATTTTACCTTATCAAATCAGAACGTCGCTTAGATCATGAAACTGCTGTCAGACTATCGCTCAGATCAAGAAACTGCCTTTGTGTGGTTGTTAAGCCCTGTGAAACCAAAAGACTGTGAATCCCCTGAAAAAACATGTGAAGATGAATTAAACATTTGAGAGGATAAAGTTGGAAATAGCAAACTTGTGCTTTCATACTCCTGATGTGATCTGAATAATCATACAGTTCCTAGGTCGAAATCAGACCTGAATGCCTAACCTAATTGCCACAACCTATTCATTACTCTTGGGTTTAACTTCGAGTTGGGAGTCCAGCTACCTTCTCAGATAAATGCAAAAATCAATAGTAAGTGCACTGCAAAACAAAGCTTGAAACTGATCCCAGCCACTTGTTTGTTACCTTCAGGAAAAGCATAAAATAAGCTTCTTAAAAAGCTGAAAGATCGCATTGAAAGAGAGCCTATGGCAGGGAGTGATCAACAGGTGAACAAGTGTGATGAAACAAGAAATACACACACATCTCTTCTTATATTCTGTTAACAGGTTCTCCAATTTATAGTTTTATACTAATAAATGAAATAAAATACAGAAAGGAGTTCTTCTAAATATTCTGAAAGACTGTACCAAAATATATGCATGAATTTGTGCGAAAAAAGTTAATATATTCCAATGAATAGTACATGATCTTTTATATGACAAGTAGTGGGACAATTTCAAGTTCTCTTTATTTGTTAGCCCATGTAATTAAATCTCATAAAAAGGTGGTACATTTATACAAATAAATTAAGGAGATCTACAAAGACAGCAATGCTAGACAACTTATAGGCGTGGCTACTCAATCATAGACTAATTATCGGGGTACTTAGGGGTCGATAAAAGGAGTTTCTATGACTACAAAAATGGGCATTCCATTGCTGGTTTTATACGTATTATTAAGGCTATATCTATGTGTTGGTTGGCTAGTTATCTTATAATAGTTGATCGGATCGCAAAGTGATCAAGCTTTAATCCTATTCAGAGGAACTAATCTTATTAAATATAGGTGGCCGTCCAATTTTTGGGGAAGTGAACTTACTCCATGATCCATATGCTGGCAAACTAACATACTGAGGACATGACCCAGAAGAGAGTCTGTCACTTCTAATGATAGATCCACTTGCACAGTCACGAGGCTGTAAAAGAAACAAGAATTAAAGTACCCTTTCACTTTAATGCAAGACATGGGAGTTTTGGGGATGATATTCTGACAATAGACAATTAGACAATGTTTTGATAGTAAATTAAACAAATAGAGAATTAGAGATAAGATTAACCAAGCAGAGATTCAGAACTAAGAAGTTGTTTAATATGCTAACTGGAAAGATGAAAGAAGTCGGAATGGAAATCGTGAGACAGTAGGCACTGTTTAGTGCATAGTAAATTAGACATAAGATTAACCATGCAGAGATTCAGAATTTAAAAAAAGTGTTTTATCTGCTAACAGGAAAGATGAATGAAATCGGAATGATCGTGAATCATACACATCTAAATTGTACACTCATGATATCTACTGGTTGCATTTGGATAAGGAAAGAAGTTAACAAACAAGAAGTGTACTATTGAAGGACATAATAATTTATGTCGTAAACTAAACAATGGCAAACATGTTAAGTGAGGCATCAACATCACCTTATAAAATCAAGTAAAGCCGCATTAAGCAAATCTTGCAATAATTTATTCAGAGGATTAGAGAGAACCAACCTGGAAATCCTTATAGAAGCATATCCGAAGTTCCTCCACATCATCGCCCGAGCATATCAACTCTGGAGTTGCATGGAAGGCATTTTGAATGGCAGAAATGATGCCTCCCAGTGGATATTTCTCAGAATTTGACGGTACATACCCAGCTTCAAACAGAACTCCCTGGTTAATTTCAATTTTTACAATGATGGTCAACTATCAGACAAATACACTATGTAATTATATGAGAGAGAGGACGAACATATAAGTTTTCAACAAAATGAAATGAAGTTGTACTGACCTTTTAACAAGAAAAAGAACATGGAATGCTAAAAGAATGTTAAGTAATTTGACATGTTTCCTACTGATGTGGGCATAATTTCTCGAACTTCGCCTTGAGGACAAGTCGTCTTTCCAGGAGGGGTGTACTGATAAGCCACTTATCTTCCAGAAGAAGCAAAGAAATCTAGGAGAAGATAATTCCTGGAGCTTTCAGTTATTAGAAGTTTATTAGAAGTTATCTGTTTAGCATTTTTATTATGGTTATTAGAAGTTATTTATCTTTATTCTAACAGGTTATGCAGTAGTTATGGTCAGCCTATTATATAAGTAATAGATCCTGTAATGTGTAGGTATCATTATCAAAATCAAAACTACTTTATTTTGGAGCATTGTCCTCTCCATACGGACAACTTTATTGGTGTAGTTGTGTTTAAGATTCTTGCACAAACTATTGCCAATAATATTAACTTCTTTGTTCTATTTATTTTGTTATATACTTCTGGTTTCTATCATAATTCAATGCTTCAACATACCCAGAAAGTTATGATGCAGTTAATTAAGAAAGAATTCAGCACACATGCGAGAAGTTCACCATTTTCAACACTCTGTGCCAACTTACAAAGTCCAACTGCTAACCCTCTAGGTATATTGCTGTGAATAATTTCCAGCAGGCTGCGGTATACGTTACCACAAACTTGTATATCTGATATTGTAGACGATCATCTATTTAAAAATTCATATCACAAGAGAAATTTTCTTAGAAAAGAAACTGATAACATCTGTGGTTTAAGTTTTCATATAATATACGAACCAAGTTATTCAAGATGAGCTATTAAACTGCTGCTACATCTCATAATTTCATGGCCCCAATACTGAATATATGCAAATAAGTAACTGAATCAAAGTTTAGAATCAATAGAAAATATACAAGAAGGCAAACTTTATTGCAGTAAATAAATAGAATAACAATCAACTTACAGTGACATTGTATTTGAAGTAAACATTCAAGGTCGTTAGGAAGTACTCATACTCATCATGGACAACTGGATAAGAACATGTCCCGTGTTTTTCTGCAAACAATGACATAAAATTATGAAAGATCACACTACATATAGAGAACATCATTTGCCAGTCTGACTTTTGTCCCTATTAAGTTTTACAAGTGTAACAAACACAAAATTTTGAGCTTTGGGTTGCAGTTGGTAGACTGCTAAGGCCGTTAATCTCTCCATATCATCTATATTACAGTTAGGTGCTTGCTTAAGAATTAAAGGACAGTATGTCCTTCTGAAGTATTTTAAGGGTTCTTTTTGGTTGCCAGACAAGAGAGAGGATAAAGGCCGGATAATCACATTTAGTGGCAAATAACACCCCAGACTGGCCTTAACTTTGGATTAATTATCTGCAAACTTTCATATGATATTGTCCCTCTTTTTTTTTTCTTTTTTTCTTTGGG